GGCGGGGTGACTCGGTGGGGGGTGCCGTGGGCGGGGGGCTCAGCCTCTGCCTTTCCCCCCCCCCCAGCGTGTCCCAGCACAGCGAGGAGAACATGATGAACCCCTACAATCTGGCCGTCTGCTTCGGGCCCACGCTGGCGGCCGCCCCCCCCGGCCTGGACCCCGTCTCCACCCAGCCCCACGCCAACGAGGCCGTGAAGTGCCTGATCCTGTACCCCGAGGCCACCTTCCCGCCCCCCGACCAGCTGCCCGGCCCCCTGTACGAGCGCTGCCTGGCGCCGCCCGACGAGGACGGGTAAGTGGGGGGCAGGGGATTTCCCGGGGGTGGGGGGACCCTGATGGGGGGCAGGACCCCGATCTCACCCCCTCTCTCCCCCCCCCCCAGGGAGACGATGCCCCTGGACCCCGCGGCTGAGGAGAGCGAGGGGGATGGGCCCCCCGAGACATCGACTGTGGCCAGTGAGGATGGTGAGGGGAAGGAAGGTCCCTTCCTGCCCCAGATCTGTCATTGGAGAGGGTCCCACCCTCTGGGGGTCAGCCCCCCATGGGCCCCACTCTGCACACAACAGCCACCCAGTGCCCTGGGGGGCAGCATTGAGGGGTGCCGGCGGGGGGGAGGCCCTAGGGGGCACGGGCAGGGGGCTCTGATGGGAGGGGTTGGGGGCCCTAGGGGGGTTGGGGGGCTCCTGGAGGAGGGCTTTAGGGTGCTGGTGGAAGAGGGTTGGGGCCCTTGGAGGCGTTGGCAGGGGCTGGGGTGTGCTGGCGGAAGAGGGAGGCTGCGGGGGGCTGGGGGGGCTCTGGAGGGTGGGGGCCCATGGGGGCTGGGGGCTCCAGCGTGGTCTGACATGTCCCCCCGCCCCCCAGGCCCGCAGGGCCCCCCCGAGGCCGTGGCCCGGTTCTCCTACGAGGGGCGCTCGTCCCAGGAGCTCTCGTTCCAGCCGGGTGACCGGATCCGGCTGCTGGCCAAGGCCTCCCCAGACTGGTGGCGTGGGGAGCTGGGGGGGGGCCCGTGGCCTGGTTCCCCACAAGTACATCAGCCTGATCCCCAGGTGAGGGGGTGCAGGGGGCTGGAGGGAGGGGGGCTGGGGGGGAGGGGGGAGAACAGCCCCCCTAACTAAGTCACCTGCCCCCCAGCACCGGGAAAAGCCGGAGTCGCCGAACCTCGGGGTCGGACGGAGATGCCGGGTCTCCCCCAGCTGAGCCGACACCAGAGTCAATCAGCAGGTGAGGGGGGGTCCTCGGTTACATGGCCCCTGCCCCGCCCCCAAGGGGACCCCAGACACCTGCCCCCCCCACCTGTCCTGGAGGGGTCCCCGGATAACCAGCCCCCGGATACCCGGCCCCCCGCCCCGGAGTGGGCCCCGGATAACCAGCCCCTGCCCCGCCCCCGAAGGGGACCCCGAATACCCGGCCTCGCCCCTGAGGGGTCCCAGATAACCAGCCCCCCACCTCTGAGTGGACCCCATCTGACCCCCCCTTTCTCTAGCAGGCTGCGGGTGAACTCGGAGGGCAGCCGGGGGCGCCAGCGACCTGGGACCAGCCCCATCCGCAAACTGGCTTCTCCCTTCATCGACTCGGGGCGTCTGCCTTTCCCCCTTCAGCCCCCCAGTGCCCCCCGGGCTGTCGACAGGTGAGACCCCCCTCCCCCGGGCAAGAGGGCCCTGGGGAGCCAGCCCCACCCCAGAGGTTGCTGCCCCGACTCTCTCCCTTCTCTCTGCCAACACTGCCTTTCCTCCTCCAGGACGGAGCGGGGGGCTCTGGGGGTTGGCCTCTCCGGCAGAGAGAAACAAGGGGCCCCGGAGAAGCACGTGGAGATGGATAAGGTAAGTTTTGGGGGATGTACCCCAGCCCCCCTTGGGGCTGCTG